CTTGCTGCTACTTGATATTTTTCTGCTAGTAGGATTAACGTCAATTCATAAGTACGAACTCTTGCAAAATCTGATAATGACTAGTATTCATTTACAAAAAATAGGTTAGATCAACTAAATATTCCTCAGAATATATAATTGAATTACTATCTGAAAAATTACGTTTGAGATGTGCATGTGCAGGGCACGTGGCCAAAGTCTAGCTTAACTTAAAAATCAAAACAAGAGGAGGCATTGAAGTCAATGCCGGTACGTAGACGTTGAGGATGAGATTTTTAAGGGGTTCACATGGAACTTGCTTGAAACCTGGAACCAACCAACCAATTAGATTCGTCTATCCAAGTCAACTTGACTAACAATTGCATGGCGTAACTAATTAAAAATAAATTAAACAAATAATTACGAATTAGTTAATTGATTGTATAAACAATATCAACTATCAAGTGACGCACGAACTCTTAAAACTCTCTAAAATAGTACTATTTGAGTGTCTTCATCTCACCAGACAATGGGCTGTCATAAATCCCTTCAAAACGCTTTCTGAAATTGTGCGACTTTTTTAATATTTGTTTAAATTAATCCTTTTTAAGTATAATGTTGGACTTAATATTACCTCCAAAAAAGACATATTTCGGACAATGCACTTATTCTCAAAAGCCCCCCACAAAAAAAGAATTTGCAAACACGAAAAAAAAGTATTTATTAAAATATCATGTATGTGTGAATAAATTATTAAAGTATATTCAAAGAATTTGGAATCTAGTACCTCTTCTTCTTCGTGTATATGTTCTATTTTTTTTCCCTTCGCTCGTAAATTATTTAGACATCTTATTCCCGTAACCAAAAAAAAAAAAAAACTAAAAGAGTAGATGAGGCAGAGATCTTTTAGGAAGAACATTTATGGTAACACTAAAAATTGTTTTTCCACCTAAAAGTACTGAGAAATCCTATAAAATACTACATCTTCACTAATTTTTATTTTTAACTTTATTCGGTCAAGACAAATGTCATAGAAATAAAATGACCTAGAGAGAGAGAGAGAGAGAGCTTACGCTGTGTTGGTTATTCGCGACATAGTTGTCCGGAGATGGACCTTGGGTTCCCATGGCTCTAAAAAAACAAAGAAAAAACCAACTTACAGAAAATTATTTTAATGTGAGAGAGAGAGAGAGAGAGAGAGAGATGTGAAGGGAGAGATGAACCCTGTTGTAATATATAGAGAGAGCTCAGAGAGGGGTTAGGAAGCTATCTTTGAGTTTCCACTGAGGACGATATTTTAAATTATATTTGACTCCAGAAGTCCACCTCTTATAAGGATAACGACATATTGTATGCATCTGCTCTTGTTGAATGTTGGGGAAGAAACCCCTATGCTGAGATCCACCAATTAGCCAAGAGAGATAAACCAACACACCAAACAATAGCACAAACAATCAAACACTAGATTTTACGTGGTTCGACGAGATGCCTACGTCCACGAGGCAAGGAGGGTGGAGTTTTCACTATTAGAAATCAAGGGGATATAACTAGGGTTACAAATCTCTCATAAACCCTCAACAAATCAACTCTTGATCTCACCAATTGCTCCTAGAATAGAAGCCCAAAGAAAACCCCTCAAATCTGCTCAAAACTCCTGCCTTACAAACCCTAGAAAACACCCATTGGGTATTTATACAAGTCCAAAACGAAACGGGTCTGGAAACAGAACTCAGCCCAAAACCCGCATCGCGGTCGACCGTAGCGCCATGTGCGGTCGACCGCGAAAAGTCCAGAGGCTCACCCAACTCTCTGGACCAAACGCGGTCGACCGCCGCTCCATGTCCGGTCGACCGCCCAATATCCAGAGCCAAAAATCCATCTGCGTGCACATTTCGGTCGACCGCAGCTCCACTGCCGGTCGACCGCCAGACGCCCAAAAGCACTCCTTCGACTTTTTCAGCGGTCAACTCCATACACTCGCCGAATCTACAATTCTCCACATCGGCGAACGTTTTCCCAAAACTGAGCCGACACTGACCAAACCAGTGCCTCAACTGCTGCATCCAGTACGTCATGGCAACGGACTCATGACAACGGACCTCATCCACAACACGTCGAGACCCAAACGGGAGTGCGAACACTCACCCCAAACCAACTGTGTCTACTCACCAAATCAGCTGCGTCAAAAACTGACTGCCTACGTATCCTCTCCAAGGAATCAAGCCTTCACGTAGTTCACCAAATGGCCTCCAAAGGCCCTCAGTCCAAACTGCGGCTGATAGCATCATCAACGACCCCAAACTGAAGCGATCCAAATACCTCCACCTGAGGTGAAACAATGGTCGTATCCAAGCTATATCCACCAGCTGCACTCAGATCTACCAACTCGTCATCTGCATCCTGAACAATCTGATCCTCAAACTGTGTCACCTCAGCCGGAATCCCAACTAATACAAAATGATCTGGAGTATGTGGAATAAGCTCCACCCGATGTGGAGTAGCATCAACCTCCACCCGCTGCGGTATCCCTCTGATCTGATCAATACTCTCTACCTACCAAGAGTCCAAAGTGAGAAACTTGCTCAGACCAAACTCAGAAGCTCCCAACTGATAGCCGAATAAACTCATGAATCCCAAATGTGCAATCGGATCCAATCTCACATCAACGATGTGACCAAGTGCTGGGTAGCCAAATATTTGACGCCGACCAAAATCTGAAGCAGCTCCACCAGATCTAATAACTCTACACGCAGCAGTCGACAACCTCATAAGACGGCCCAAACATGTCAAAACCTGAATACCAAATCCACTGCTCGACAACCAACACCGATCATCCTCTAGAAAAGAATGGCCCACTAGATCCGCCATCTCATCACGTCGCCCCAATGTCTCCTCTCCTCTGAAGTGTCTCCAACTGCCATGAGCTCGGCACCAATGCAAGAAAGACCCCATACTAGAACTAGTACGATAGGTTACCTCTCTGCCCATACACCTCCTCCAGCTGTTGCGAACTACTAGGGCTTTATACTAATGAGACTTGGTTGCAACCCATAAATACCTAGTACAATCTCACATCAACGATGTGACCAAGTGCTGGGTAGCCAAATATTTGACGCCGACCAAAATCTGAAGCAGCTCCACCAGATCTAATAACTCTACACGCAGCAGTCGACAACCTCATAAGACGGCCCAAACATGTCAAAACCTGAATACCAAATCCACTGCTCGACAACCAACACCGATCATCCTCTAGAAAAGAATGGCCCACTAGATCCGCCATCTCATCACGTCGCCCCAATGTCTCCTCTCCTCTGAAGTGTCTCCAACTGCCATGAGCTCGGCACCAATGCAAGAAAGACCCCATACTAGAACTAGTACGATAGGTTACCTCTCTGCCCATACACCTCCTCCAGCTGTTGCGAACTACTAGGGCTTTATACTAATGAGACTTGGTTGCAACCCATAAATACCTAGTACAATCTCCAACATATGAAACAAAATAACGATTACCTCCCGATGATGCCTCCTCGGAAGGCCCCCTGATGCCTGACTGAACACCTCTAATAAGATCCCTCGATCGGTGGGTAGAAGTGCTGAACTCCACCTCGGTCTCCTCGCTCATCCCAATGTGCTCACAGGACTTCAATCTGCAGGTCATAGCACTCCTCAATAATCTGTGCACGGCATAACTAATAATATATCCCAGCACCAACCAATGCCACAGTCTAGCCAAAGAAGTCATCAGCGCTCTATCCACCACCGTGCTCCCAAGCAGATAATACAAGTTACTCCTCCTGACGCCCTTCATCACAATCATAGACCCCGATGTGACCTTCAAGCGAGAATCCGCCAAGGTCACCCTATAGCCTGATGCCACTAATACCTCAAGTGAAATGATGTTCTTCCTCAGTTGAGGAACAAACCTCACATCAACCAATTTCCGAATCATCCCGTCACTCGTCCGAATACGAACAATATCAATACCACCAATAGGGCATCTGTGATCATTACCCATAAGTACAGCATTCCCTCTTTCTAACTTCTGAAAGCTGGAGAACCAATCCCTTCTAGGGCATATGTGGTAAGTAGCACCCAAATCCAACATCCACTCGGTGGAGTCGGCAACACCAACTGACGGAAGAGCTGGGCATGAATAGCCTGAAGAATCTGAATCTGAAATGTCACCACTAGCCTTGGTAACATTCACCTCTGAAGCTTGAACAGCTTTCCCCTTATTCTTCACGGCTTATAATTTTGGGCATTCGGCTTTCCAATGTCCATCTTCTCTACAAAAGGTACACTGATTCCTGCCAACTGCAGGATGCCCCCCTCTAGACTGCGACCTCCTACCACGGTTTGGACTTCTAGCTCTTACAACCAATACCCCCGCAACCGGCTCAATGGAAGTCTCATTGTCCTTCTTTCGAAGTTGATATTTCACAAGGGCTGCGGTGACCTCACTATACGAAAGAGATGCCTTCCCATTAATAAGAGTGAGGACGAAGGTCTCATATTTCTCGTCGGGTAAGGAACTCAATAACAACAATGCCTTGTTCTCGTCTTCAACTATAACATCCACATTCGCCAAATCTGCAATTAGCTTCGTGTAGTGGTTCATGTGATCACTAATGGATGTCCCCTTCTTCAATTGGAAGCGATAAAGCCTCCTCTTCAAATGCAAACGATTTTTGACGCTCTTGCCTTCTCTTCAAATGCAAACGATTTTCGACACTCTTCGTTAAATATTTGCCCTCTAGGACCTCCTAAATCTTTCTTGCCGAAGTCTCATTCATCACATCATACTTTAGATCTTGAGTGAGGCAAGACCTAATCACACCACACGTCGTTCTATTCATTTTCTTCCAAACATTATCATCAATTTCGGCCGGTTTCCCGTCCAATTCCAACGTATCTTATAAATTTTGCGCATTTAGCGCATCCATGACTTCGCATCGCCAAAGTCAAAAATTATTTGTGCCGTTGAACTTTTCCACATCTATTTTCATAGAATGTATATTCAAACTTTGGACGACCTTCACACTAGCTAGAAGAACCCTCCCCATGTTTATCCTTTCCGGCCATATATCTCAAGGCACCCAATAAACAATTACGGAACAAATAGGAAATAGATCCAAAAATTGACCAAAGATAGAATTTTTACCACAAAGATTTCACCTTTATCACCAATCGAAGCTCTAGAGAAACTTCCCAACTGATCTACCCCTACAAAAAGCCCAAGCGTTACCCGAAACTCTGATACCACTTGTTGGGGAAGAAACCCTTATGCCGAGATCCACCAATTAGCCGAGAGAGATAAACCAACACACCAAATAATAGCACAAACAATCAAACACCAGATTTTACGTGGTTCGGTGAGATGCCTACATCCACGGGGCAAGGAGGGAGGAGCTTTCACTATTAGAAATCAAGGGGATACAACCAAGGTTACAAATCTCTCATAAACCCTCAACAAATCAACTCTTGATCTCACCAATTGCTCCTAGAATAGAAGCTCAAAGAAAACCCCTCAAATCTGATCAAAACTCCTGCCTTACAAACCCTAGAAAACACCCATTGGGTATTTATACAAGTCCAAAACGAAACGGGTCTAGAAACAGAACTCAGCCCAAAACCCGCATCGCGGTCGACCGCAGCGCTATGTGCAGTCGACCGCGAAAAGTCTCACCCAACTCTCTGGACCAAACGCGGTCGACCGCCGCTCCATGTCCGGTCGACCGCCCAATATCCAGAGCCAAAAATCCATCTGCGTGCACATTTCGGTCGACCGTAGCTCCACTGCCGGTCGACCGCCAGACGCCCAAAAGCACTCCTTCGACTTTTTCAGCGGTCAACTCCATACACTCACCGAATCTACATTGAAGTTAATCCTAATCCTAAAATTATAGTTATGCTAGCCAGGATGTTATTATGAAACACTTTGTAAAGCCTTTAAAATAGGCACTCATGCGTCATTGTACCTAAGAGAAAAAGAAAAAAGAAAAATAAGAAAGGAGCTGATCGAATACTGTAGCTAAGTAATCGAGAGTTTAAAAGAGTTTTTTTTATTTGCTTCTCCCACTAAATCTCTACTTATATATATTATACTTCTTACAGGGTTTATCCTTTGTATTAAGCTAGTCCTCTTTAGCATTAATTCCGTGAATTCAAGATAGGGGAAAAAGGTCCATAAATGCTCGTATAGCGATGCGGAT